TCAGAACAAGGCACCCAGCCATGCAACCAGTGCTGGGTACCTCGTTCTGATCTCAGAAGTGAGCACTTCTCTGCAACACTGGCCATGCCATGCAGCAGAGCAGGATATCCATGCAAACAGCCACTTGGTGTCAGAATAGAGGGCTAAAGTAACAGGAGGAGGTCAGGGTAAGGATACCCTGAGCTGCCCCTGAATAACTATCTGGTGTAGACAGAACCTTTATCATAGATCTTCTATGTCAAATCTTGCTTGGCTAATGGCTCACAGACATGTCTATTGCTACTATAAGAAAAATATATGGGAGAAAGGAGTGGTAGAAAAGCTTACTGGAGAATGAGTTTGATTTTATGGCTTTTATGTATAATCACTGATCCCCATATCTTTAGGGAAGTGGTGTCACTGAGCACCTTTTACCATTGATTTCTCAGGTACTGAAGCAAGAATCACCCAGGTTGAGTCAGAGAGCTTGTCCTGAAACATGAGAAACAACAATAAGGAAGAATACTTTTGAGGAATGTTTCTTCTTCCTCTACAGAGTGCTACAGTCCAGCTTTTACTATACAGACATAGTCAATAGACATCTGGAATTAGGAGGCTGAGCCTCCAGGCTGGTGTGGTTTCTGCTGATCTAAACATTAGAGACACTTGAAGGTTGGAGGTGCTGCCTGAAGGTGAAACTTATGCCTCAGACTCATTGGGATGCTACCTTAACCAAGTTAAACTGGGGCCAGCCCAACCACTAGACAGAGTGAAGTGCCACTTCAGGCAGAAACTGTCTGGTGTCATTAAACAACCACAAGTTGTTAGTTACTTTGTCATTGCTGCATTTTTACAGCTAGAGATGGGGAGAAGTGCTTATGGGATTTCTTGCCTAGTATACAAGAATAACTTGGTTAGCTTTGGGTCCAGTGAATTTTAATTCTCATGGGTTGGGGATGCCATTTGTTCTTCTGTCAGCCAAGTGTTTTGAGACAACCCTGTTTCAATATGTTTGTCCACATAGCCCAGTATAGTCTTTTTCTGTCTGGCATAAGTTTTTCAAGATCTCAGAGAGATCACATTACTGCACTACACTCTTATAGTGCTGCTATTCCACTTTTACTACTCTGGCTGCCTCCTGTTGCATTCTGGAGTTTGTAGTTCATTGAGGCCTAAGAGCTCTGGCTGAGAATTCTAAATGCCCCTCCTTAAACTGCAAATCCCAGAATGCAACAGGAAGCAGCCAGAGCAGTTAAAGTGAAATAGCAGCACTGTAAGCGTGTAGTGTGGTAATCTAAAGAGAGAGGACTTTCTCTTCACCACTATCCGTTCTTCTTTTAACTAGAAATGACAGCAGTTGAGCCTGGGGCAATGTCTGTTTTCTACCCTGAGGTGTTATGAGTTTACCAGAGTACTGTAATCAAACTTCTGTATACAAGGAATCAGTGGTCTGATCCTACCCTGAAAAGGATTAGAGGAGAAGGAACAAGTAGGGGTAGGTAACCTTTCCCCTTTAAAGGGCCGAGGGACTTCAGCTCCCAGAATCCCAGGAGCTATTGGCCAACATGGCTGAGGCTTCTGGGAGCTGAAGTCCCTCTGCCCTTAAAGGGGAAAGGTTGCCTACCCCTGAAGCAGATGCTCCCTTTCTCTTCCTTCTCTGTGTGCCACATTGTAGTGGCAGCACTATTTTGCATGGCTAATGCTGGCAACTTATAGGAATGAGGGGGAAATTAACCTACTTCAAATTTCCCAAACCAATATACAAACAGAAATGCAGTTGTCCTTTGGCATTTGACTTTCCCTGAATGCTGTGATCCCATTCTCTGATTAAAAATACCCACAAAAATTGATATAACTGAAAATTCATTGAATTTGGGAAAGTTCCTGCAAAACTGTGTATTGTGCAGATTCAGAACAATGTACAAGTTGCACATATCAGTAGAAATATGCACTAAAATACATGCAAAATATTCACAAACAGATGAAGGATTGTTAAGGAATGAACCTAAAGTTGCAAAAGTGATAAATGGACAGAAAATACAATTTACAAGTTTGTCAATTTCTTGTAAGCAATATGTTCCCTCATACTATTATGCTAGGCTTATGTATATGTAGATGAGCTCACTGTAGAATTTTGGTGATTCTGACTTTCAAGTGTCCCCTCTCCACTCATAAACCTAATTTTTTATGTTGTTGAGCACTCCCTTTGGATTTTATGTTCATAGATTAAGGACTGGTCCTCACGGGCCAAATAACATGTCCTCCCCACCATCCTCATATCAGTCCTGATGATGTGGGGCCCAATCACTGATTCTGGTGCAAAATGTTTGGACAATATACAGCTAGTTTAGCACTGAATCTTGGTATACTATCCTTAACATAGATTTTAAAAAGTCACCTTTTGTTCTGGAACTTCCCAAACCAAT